TTTTTTTTTTTTTGAGACGGAGTCTGGCTCTGTCGCCCAGGCTGGAGCGCAGTGGCGCGATCTCGGCTCACTGCAATCTTGGCCTCCAGGGTTCAAGTGATTCTCCTGCCTCAGCCTCCTGAATAGCTGGGATTACAGGTGTGCACCACCACACCCGGCTAATTTTTGTATTTTTAGCAAAGATAGGTTTTGCCGTGTTGGCCAGGGTGGTCTTGAACTCCTGGTCTCAAGTGATCCTCCCTCCTTGGCATCCCAAAGTGCTAGGATACAGGATGGGATTACAGGCATGAGTTACCGTGCGCAGCCGCCCCCTCTCTCTCCCTCTCTGTCTTCTTCTCTCTCTCTCTCTCTCTCTTTTGAGACAGAGTCTCACTCTGTCGCCAGGCTGGAGTGCAGTGGCACAATCTTGGCTCGCTGCAACCTCCGCCTCCCGGGTCCAAGCACTTCTCCTGCCTCAGCCTCCTGAGTAGCTGGGACTATAGGTGCACGCCACCACACCTGGCTAATTTTTGTATTTTTAGTAGAGATGGGGTTTCACCACGTTGACCAGGCTGGTCTCCATCTCTTGACCTTGCGATCTGCCCGCCTCAGCCTCCCAAAGTGCTGGGATTGCAGGCGTGAATCACTGCACCCAGCCGCCTCGCTCTCTAAAAAGAGAGCGGGATCCTCCCGCCTCAGCCTCCTGAGTAGCTGGGACTGCAGGCGCTTGACACCATGACCATCTCATTTTTTTTTTTGGTACGTTTTCTAGAGATAGAGTCTCACTATGTTGCCCAGGCTGGTCTCAAACTCCTGGCCTCAAGTGATCCTCCCTCCTTGGCCTCCCAAAGTGCTGGGATACAGGGTGTGATTACAGGCATGAGTTACGGTGCCCAGCCTCTCTCTCGCTCTCTCTCTCTCTGAGATGGAGTCTCGCTCTGTTGCCAGGCTGGAGTGCAATGGCACAATCTTGGCTCACTACAGCCGCCGATTCCCGGGTTCAAGTGATTCTCCTGCCTCAGCCTCCTGAGTAGCTGGGACTGCAGGTGCCTGACACCATGTGCATCTAATTTTTTTTTGTGTGTATTTTTTATAGAGATGGGGTCTTGCTCTGTTGCCCAGGCTGGTCTTGAACTCCTGGGCTCAACCCATCCACCTGCCTTGGCCTCCCAAAGTGCTGGCATTACAGGCGTGAGCCACCGCGCCCCGCCCACCAACCCGGAGGTGCTTTTTCAGCCCCCGCCCCCCCCGGCCTTCCTCTGACCTGGTACCTGGCACACCCGCCCCCGCCGCTCCCTGCCATCCCCCCAGCCCAGGGCTCCCAGTGGGGCTGCTCACCGAGGTTGCTGTACGTGGGCTGCGTTGACCCGCTGGGGTCGTCAGGCTCGGGGGGCTCTGTGGGTGGCTCCGGGCTGCTCATATTGCTGGGGGAAGTTCAGACGGGGGCGTGTGTGGGGTGATGTGCAGGGTGATGTGAGGAGGGGTGCGTGGGTGCAGGGGGATGGGAGACCCCGAGGCTCCCCGCTCCAGGGCCCTTGGGAGAGCAGGGGCACCCACACTCCACTCCCTTGTCTGGTCGTGACCCTGCTGTGTCATCCTGAGTGGGTTTCTTGCCCTCTCTGGGCCCACTTCCTCAAATCAGGAGGCAGGTCCGTCACCCGAGAATCTTCCAGCGTGGTGGGAAGGACCCCCCCCAAGCACATTTGGGATGGGGACAGAAGTTCAGCCCAAAGACAGGCCTTTGGGAGTCAGGTGCAGGGCAGACAGTGTCCAGGGACCCAGGCATCCACACTCAGGCCTGGTCCCCGAGAGCTCAGCTGTGCGGTGGCTGCCGGCAGCCAGGCCCCAGCCCACCCCCGCCCAGACCCCCAACCTTCAAAAGTGGCTGCCTCTGTCCAGCTCCTGGCTCCGGGAGCCCCTACCTTCAAGACTGGTGTGACCTCCAGGGAGGAGGGGTCCTCAGGGACAAACTGCCAATGGCCACAGCCCCCCGCCTCGCAGGAGGGGTCTGACCTAGCACCAGCAGCCGACAGGAAAAGGTCCGGCCAACTGTCAGACCGCAGCCCGGGGAGGGGTGGGGGGCCTTTGGGCAACACTTCCCCACCCGCTGGGGCCGCCCCTCCCCTGCCCGCCCGCAGAGGAACAGCATCGCGGGTGGATGAAGACCAGGAGGTGGCATCTGAAAGTCAGTAGCGCCAGGGCTGACAGCCGGGTGGGCGCAGGTGGAAGGCAGGCCGAAGCCTCAGAGGCCAGGCTGGGGTCGGAGGCAGTGGGGAGCCCTGTGAGATCGGGGGCAGAGCTTGCCCACCGTAGGGGAGGGCACAGAACACGGTGACAGCTGTCCCCAGAAAACTGCAAGAGAGGTCTGCGGCTTCCCCTCCGGCAGCAGCATCTGAGAAGCCCCAGCAGCCCCCCGCCCCATCCCAGGGCCCCCGAATGTGGAGTGCGGGTGAGGACCCTCTTGGCTCCGCCGCGCCCCACCGTGTGCCTCCGGGCAAACCTCCACCCTCTCCCTGCTCCTGCGAAGAAAGCAAAGCGTCTCCCACATCCATCCTGGTAACAGCCGCCGCGGGTGGATTCTTCTTTGAAAAAATTTAATCGCCTCCCTTTTCCCCTTCCTCCTTCCTCACTGCCTCGAGGCGTTTATTTAGAAAAAGACGTTTTAGATATAATCACCATAAATGGGAAAATCAAGAATGGAAAAAACCCAAAAGCAAAAGCGGCCTCGGCGAGAAATTCCAGCTGAAGTGCCTGCCTGTCAAAGCTGTCTTTTTTTTGTTACGCCGTGGCCCAGGCTGGAGCGGTGCAATCACTTCACTGCAGCCTGGCGCGAACCCCTGGGGCGATCCTCCCGCCTCGGCCTCCCAGAGTGCTAGGATCACAGGTGTGAGCCACCCTGCCCTGCCCCAAGGATGGCATTTCTTTTCTTTTTTTTCAAATATTTATTTTTTCTTTTTTAAAGAGACGGGGTTTTACCGTGTTGGCCAGGCTGGTCTCGAACTCCTGACCTCAAGCAATCCACCCGCCTCGGCCTCTCAAAGTGCTGGGATTACAGGCGTGAGCCACTGCGCCTGGCCAACTGAGTGCATTTCATGTGGGGTTCCCCCACCCTGTTTCCCTTAGGGAAAATGGGCCCAGAGAGAGTAGGGGGTCTGGCCAGGCGCAGTGGCTCATGCCTGTAATCCCAGCACCTTGGCAGGCCAAGGCGGGCAGATCACCTGAGGTCAGGAGTTTGAGACCAGCATGGCCAACATGGTGAAACCCCGTCTCTACTAAAAATACGATATATGTATATATTGCAGGCTGAGGCAGGAGAATTGCTTGGACTCAGGAGGCAGAGGCTGTAGGGAGCTGAGATCGCACCATTGCACTCCAGCCTGCCTAACAGAATGAGACTCCGTCTCCAAAAAAAACCCAAAAAACAAAACCTGTTGGTAGTGTGGTGTGGCCCCTGGATGAGGCCCGTCCAGACCCTACAGTGTCCCACTCGTTCATTAGAGAGGCACTTACTGAGCCACGGGAGCTAGGGCCACGTTCTCTCTGGGTCCCCGGCATCCCCAGCACGGGGCAGGGATGCCACATGTGGATGGATTTCACATGACATTGGCCTTCTTGAGAAAAACACCTGTGTTTTGTGCAGGGGCGCGATCTCGGCTCACTGCAACCTCTGCCTCCTGGGGTCAAGCGGTTCTCCCGCCTCAGCCTCCAGAGTAGCTGGGACTACAGGCACCCACCTCCGTGCCAGGCTAATTTTTTTTTTTTTTTTTGTACCTTTGGATAGACCGGGGGATTTTTTTTTTTTTTTTTTGAGACAGAGTTTCTCTCTTGTTACCCAGGCTGGAGTGCAATGGCGCGATCTCGGCTCACCGCAACCTCCGCCTCCTGGGTTCAGGCAATTCTCCTGCCTCAGCCTCCTGAGTAGCTGGGATTACAGGCACACACCACCATGCCCAGCTAATTTTTTGTATTTTTAGTAGAGACGGGGTTTCACCGTGTTGACCAGGATGGTCTGGATCTCTTGACCTCGTGATCCACCCGCCTCGGCCTCCCACAGTGCTGGGATTACAGGCGTGAGCCACCGCGCCCGGCCTCTTGCAGGACTATTATCTTCCAAATTACAGACAAACAAATGGAGGCCCAGAGAGGGGCAGTGACTTGCCCCAGGCCACACAGCAATGGAAGCCGGAGACCTGGCGCCAGCTTCCCCTGGCCCCGCAAGCAAAAGCTTGCACGTGGGAATCGTGCCTCTGTCTTGGAGTAACTGGAGGGAAGTGAACTTGCAGGGCTCAGGGACTCGCCTGGAAACGGCGGCGGCTTGTCGGGGGACGTGAGAGAGAGAGACACCCCAGTCGTGTGTCCATGTCCAGTAGCTAGGGTGAGAGACCCAGGAGCGTGCAGGTGTGGGCTGGGGCACCCCGTGTGCTGTCCTAGCTCCGTCTGGGAGGGGAAATCAAGGCAGGCTCGGTCAGAAGCCACCCAGATGTGGGGTGTGGGGATGGCTTGGTCCAGTCCTGTGTTTAGGCGTCCCTCCTTGGGTTTCCAGTCGCCAAGGAGACAGGTGTGACTTTAGCTGCGTCTTGGCTCCCTGAAAAGGGAGGGCCTCTCAGCTGGGTCTCCCCTGTCCCGCACCCAGTGCACCCCACAAATGAGACAGGATTCGTTGAAACCGTGGAGATTGCGGCTGGTTCACGTCGGGCGCGCAGAGCTTTGCGCAGGGAGCGGCCGGCCCTCCTGGGTGGAGACTGCGGCCACAGGGCAGTGGTTTCACCGCCTTTGCTGCCGGAGAGACGGGCAATCCGTGTCTGTGGGGGCGTCCCACAGCCTGGAGCCCCCGCCCCCCAGCCGCCTGGAAACCAGGCACCGAGGGAGGGCCGCCTCACAGTCCCTGACGGGCCTCTGTTCTGCCCCTGAAGGGCAGGGAAATAAAGGATCCTTAGTCCCAGGTTCAAACGGGGAAACCGAGGCCGGAGAGTGACACTGGGGCGTGGCAAGTGAGAGGCTGCCCTTGGTCGGAGCTTCTGCATTCCAGCTCTGTGCTTCTCCCTGCGCCTTCCTGAGCAGGGGGGGTTTGAGCCCTCACACCCACTGTGGGTCACCATTCTGTGCCTTAATTTTCCCACCTGCCACCGCTCCATGCCTCGGTTTCCTCACCTTCCGCCTCTCCGTGCCTCAGTTTCCCCACCTGCCCCCTCTTTGTGCCTCAGTTTCCCTACCTGCCACCTCTCAGTACCTCAGTTTCCCCATCTGTTGCCTCTCTGTGCCTTGGTTTCCCCACCTGCTGCCTCTCCGTGCCTCAGTTTCCCCACCTGTCGCCACTCCGTGCCTCAGTTTCCCCATCTGTTGCCTCTCTGTTCCTCGATTTCCCCACCTGTTGGCTCTCTGTCCCTCAATTTCTCCATCTGTTGTCTCTCCATGCCTTGATTTCCCCACCTGTCGCCTCTCCGTGCCTCAGTTTCCCCACCTGCCGCCTCTCTGTGCCTCAGTTTCCCCACCAGTGAGGATTGGCACAGGGCTAAAGCACTTTATTAGGCTCTCTTCCAAACCAAAGACTCCCTGCCTTTCCTTGGAGCCCTCGGAGACAGGCAGGGAGGACATGGGACCCCCCTCAGCAGCTGCAAGACCCCCGACCGGCTGGAAGGAGGAAGTGGCCAATTCCAGCAGGCACAGCGGGGACCGATGTCTTCTTTCTTCCCCAGCCTGAGTTTGGGGCAGGAGTTTCCCAAAAGCCCAGCCTTGCCTGCTCTTCTCAGCCGCCGCCTGTCCCTAGCTGGAGCCTCAGAGCAGCTTCCCTCCACCCTCTGCCCCTCGCTCGACGCATCTGTGAAATGGGTTCATAACAGGACCGAGCTCACGGGGCTCACCTCAGCGTGAAAGCAGTGAACGCACACCGTGCCTGGAACAGCGCCGGGAACAGCATGGGCGCTGCGGAAGTGTGGCCTGTCACGTTGTCACTGTGTGGAATTCTCTCAGGGATGGCTTTAGGGCTGGAGCTTCGGTAGCACCCCCTGGGGACCCCGGCAGCCCCTCATCCCTCAGCCCTGCCCCTGGTGTTCCCATGGGCGTAAGAACAAAACCTGCGGTTATTAAATCGGTTCCATTTTTATTGGACTTGGACCAAATACAGCAGGATGAGGGGTGGGGGGCTGAGGGGTCTTGGTTCACGTGGGGATGGGGTGGGGGGGCTCAGGGGGCTGAGAAATCCTAATATACGGACGCTCTGTGAACCCTAACATGGCCGAGAACGCGCCCCTTCCTGTCTTTGACAGGCTAAAGGCACTTGGATGTCAATTTTGGGGGGGGGCCCTTGGGGTTGTCATGGTAACCAGTCAGGCAGGTGCTAGGAAAAAAATAGTCGGGGCCGGGCGCGGTGGCTCACGCCTGTAATCCCAGCACTCTGGGAGGCCGAGGTGGGCGGATCATGAGGTCAAGAGATCGAGACCATCCTGGCCAACGTGGTGAAACCCCGACTCTACTGAAAATACAAAAACAGCCGGCGTGGTGGCGCGCACCTGTAATCCCAGCTACTCGGGAGGCTGAGGCAGGACAATCAGTTGAACTTGGGAGGTGGAGGTTGCAGTGAGCCGAGATCACGCCACCGCACTCCAGCCTGGCAGCAGAACAAGACTCTGTCTCAAAAAAAAAAAACAAGAATTGGTTTTGCCCCATTCAGGGGTGGCGGTTGGGGTTGCAGGAACTTCACCCCTCATTCACATCGAGCCTCGCCGGGGCCTCTGTGCCTCGTGGGGCAGGCCTGGGCCCTCCCGGCCACAGCTCAGGGAGCTCGGGCTGGTGTCGCCGACCAGCTCCGTCTGAAACCTTTGCTCAGAGCTTCCAGGGCTGAGCCGTCTTTCTCTCCGTTTCTCTCTGGCTGATCTCAGAGCAGGCTGGAGGGATCCAGGACCCAGGTCTAACCATCAAGCCCGTCGGCAGGCCTGGCCTCTGAATACAGGGTCACGGGTTTGGCCCTCAGACCCATCTTACAGATGACACGGATGGTCCGGGTGGTCCTCAGTCGCTAGCTGAGATGACACAGCGGGGCAGGAGCAGAGCTGCCTTTGAGCCCTTCCTGCAAAGTCCTGGAGGGTCCGTCCTAACCTCTCGGTCGGCGACCAAGCCCTTTCTGTCTGAGGTTTTGACCCATTAATGGTTCTTGTACCGGCCCCCAGCAGTGTCCTAACTGTCCTCTGGCGGATGTGGAAGGGAGGGGCAAGAAGTAGCTGTGGGGAGGCCGGTCACAGACGGTCCCTATGGTCCCTGTCTGGTGTCTGAATCCTTCTGCAAAACCTCAGCTCCTGCTTGCTTACCCCCCGTGACAGGGAGCTCACTACCTGCAGAGTGACAGAGTGGTGGACTGGGGGAAGCTCTTCCCTGATCTGAGCTGCAGTTGGCCTGTGACTCCTGCTTTGGTCCTAGATCTGCCCCGCCCCTGCAGGTGCAGAGACCAAGGTTCCTCCGTCACGGTTTCCGGAGAACAGGGGTCCAGGCCTCGCTGCACGGTGAGGCCCTTGCTGCTGCCTTGCTCTTCTCGCTGCCTCTTCAATACACATAGCAGGGGCCCCCGAGAATCCCCTGTGCTCCTTGGTCTCGTTCCCCACCTGAGTCCTGGGTCAGCAGGGCCGGGCATGATGGCGCCACGCTCAGGGCCTATCTGAGGCCGGCTAAGGGGTCAGTGTGTACCTGCGGGCAAAGGTCCCTCCCGTAGGCCCATTTAAAGGGGCACACAGCACCCCAGAAGCCATGCTCCCGGGCCAGGGCCAGAGTGG